ATCCTTGAGGACCCCTTGTCTTACTGAGATTTCTGTTTAGAGATCTCACCCCACGTTTGGGGGCGCTTATTTCAGGTTCAGGTAACCTAGGGGCTGAAACCTCTAGCGGCAGGAGGCCGGAGCTTAGTTGATTGATGTTTATCTGCTTATACTGACTATGCTTGGATGCTGGTTTATGTCTATTGATATCATGCTTATAGCTTCACTTGATGTTATTGTTGAGACTCTATTTATTATGTTGCTATTTGGTGAACATGTGGATTGTCCATGCCACATTGACTTGATTTTATGTTTTTAGTTATGAGTTGTAGTAATGTATCAGGATATTGTCCGAACTACGTGTGGTAGATCCGTGACTTAGATACTCACTTATTTATCTATTGAGGTATTTCAATTAGCTGTCTTTTGCAATTTACATGCAGGCGATGTTTTTATGAAAATGATTAAGTAATCAATTTGGCTAAGTATAATGACGTCATAATTGAAAAGAAAAAGATATTTCGCATTTTTAATTAAGCGTGGCTTAATACGATGACATGTTAACAAACTGGGTATACACGGGGTGTTACAGGGAACATACCCAAAGCCTCAAAACAGAAGCTTGAAGTGCTCTTGGAGCTCTCCCTTCAGCCCCAAAGGTTCTGACTTGCAAGTGTACGAAAATGGCACACCATCAAGGTTCTCTCTTCACAAAGTTTGCTCCTTGGAGCTTCCCCAACCAAAGAAAGACTCCCAACCCATACAACTCAGAAACATCCCCTTCCCCACACACACACAACACCCTCAACTCAGAAGATGACACCTTTCACCCTCACCAATACTCACACCCAAGTGTTTACTTGTTTAGAGGTGAAGAAATCAACGAAAGGAGGTGGCTTGGAGGTTTTCTCATGCAAAGGTGACCAAGGGAGAAGGGTGGCAGTAGCCAATGCTCTCAGAAAATTCACGTATGCAAGAAAGAATGACCTAAAAATCTGTGCCAAGGCCTTATATAGGCCACTTAAGTCTTAATTGCACTGTATTAGCGCTAATAGCTACGCTTAGCATTTTGATTCCAAACTTATAATTCTGAACCTACTCATTTTTCATATTTTTATTTTATTTTTCGCAGCATCTTTCCGGTACGCGCTTTTACATAGCCAATATCGGTTCTGGCACCAGTTCTCATTATTTTAACTTGAAACTTGTTTTACAAATCCTATATATTATTCTAGTGACATATACACACTTTTTCGTAATTTTCCGGGACACTTCATCGGTACGTATTTATACCGAGTAGCAGAACCGGTATCTGCACCTTTCGTCAGAAAAACGACTTTCAGCATTCTTACTCACTTACCATATTTATTTTAGCCTTATCATAATTTTTTCCTAATTCTCATATCTATTTAATTAATTTCCTAAATTAACGGCGCGAGTTCTTACATGGATCATTTGGTTGCAATGAAATTTGGAATGGGTGCACTGGACGACATGAATCAGTTAAAAAATAAACGTATTCGTTCTGTAGAACATCTATTACAAACTGCCCAACTTGATGATGATTTTATGACATATTCTGTTTTCAAAAAGTATTGTTGAAATTATTGGGGTTTACATTTCTAGTGATTAGTTATTAGGATTAATGTTACTCCTACACACACATGGGAGTAGGTGAGCCCTACGAAGAGAAGAGAAAGAAAGAGAAAAAGTGGGATCGATATACTTTCATGTATGTAAAGGAAATAAAATTATCTCCTTTTTGTAATGGAAATATTAAACTTTTCGTTATTTCATTTTATAAAATGGGCTGAATAAATAAATTGTTACATTTCTAAAAGCCCATACAATTATATGATCTGTTATGTTTCCCAAATGGTAGTAGTAGGATGGCAATTTTGGTTGACATGATACGACACGACACAGATTAGGAATGAACACGACACAAAATTGAAATCAGATTAAAACATTCGACATGAACCTGATATGTTTATTTTGCGGGTTGATATGACACCACACAAATAACCCACAACCTCATATGTGTCATTTAATATGCGAATTGATATGACATGACATTAATAACCTATCAACCTCAAAGTGTGTCGCGTATTATGTTGTTAACATAATACGATAAGACACAGATAACCTATAGGAAGATTAAAAAGGGTCAATTTCGGGTTCACGAGTTGACCTGCGGCAAATACAAACTTTTTTGTGTCAATTTTGACCAATACGAAACGACACAAATTTAAAAACACGGGTTGAACTGAACACAAATTTTTTGTGTCATGTCAGCGAGTCATGTTGAAAATTGTTATCTTTTGGTAATAAGTTCAATTAAAGTGTTAAGGGACGCGAACCCTTAATCGATACCAAACTCAATTTCAGAGAGAAAAAAGATAAGAAGGAAAAGGAAATCAATCGTATATTTCAGAATCCCTTACCAAGATGACAGATAAGTTCTTTTGTAATACACGTGTAGCTTACCAAGCTCTACTCCTAACAACTACACAATGTTGTATCTGATTACTAACTCTCTCAAACACCCCATTGGGCTTGCTAACACTTACTAACATAATCCCTGGCCCATGAAGGGGCCCCAACCATCCTCCTACTCTTGGGCCTGTTATCAGTTACCTTATCATTCGCCCCTAGTGCAACAGAAACCTTGTCCTCAAGGTTTGATTTAGGCAAAATAAACTCAGGATAATTCAAGATGAGATCTTCTTCATTTTCCCAAGTAGCATCTTATGGAAGAGCATTAGTCCACTGAATGAGCCACTGTATATGACTGCCTTGGACACCCTTAGTAACACGCCTCATCAATGCAGCCAATGGTTGTTGAATTGGACGGTTCTCAATGCTGTCAGCTGGTAATGGTAGAGCTACAGTCAGCCCATCACCTTTGTAAGGTTTCAGCACCGAAATGTGAAAAGAAGAATGAACTTGACACCCTTTAGGCAGACCAATCTGATAAGCTACAGGGCTTAATACCCTTACCACTGGAAATGGCCCAAAATACCTCTTGGCCAGTTTTTGATTCTTGCGATTGGCTACTGAAATTTGCCGAAATGGCTGCAGCCTCACTAAAGCCAGATCTCCTACTGCAAAGCTAGCATCACGTCTGTGTTTGTCAGCTTGCTCCTTCATCCTATTCTGCGCACCTTGCAAGTGAGCCTTCAACCTCCTCAATAACTCATCCCTGTTAACCAGAGTGGTATCCACTGCCTCAACTCGGACTGAGCCTTTTGGATATGGTGGGATCATTGATGACACCTTGCCATAAAGAGCTTGGAATGGTGTCATTCCAATTGAAGAATGTGTAGCTGTGTTATAATGATATTCAGCCCAACCTAAAACTCCAGTCCACTTATGATTTTCATCATGACAAAAAGCTCTAATATATTGTTCCAAGTAACGATTAGTTACCCCCGTTTGTCCATCGGATTGAGGATGGTAAGTTGTGCTCGTCCTCAAGGTTGTACCACTGCATCTGAAAAGTTCAGACCAGAATCTGCTAACAAAGCCTGCATCTTGGTCTGATACAATAGTTCTAGGAAACCCATGTAATTTCACCACAATCTCACAAAACAGAGAAGCCACCTTGGCTGCTGTATAGGGATGAGCCAAAGCACCAAAATGTGCAAATTTTGTTAAGCGGTCAACAACTACAAGGATGACAGTATAACCCTTGGAGTGTGGTAAGCCCACTATAAAATCCATGCTTAAGTCCTCAAACACCCCATTGGGGACAGGTAGCGGCTGTAATAATCCCATGGGAGGAGAAGTTGATGTTTTTATTACTTGGCAAGTGTGACACCTCTTAACAAACTCTTTCACATCATTCCTCATGCCAACCCAATAAAAAGAAGCAGTAAGCCTCAGAAAAGTTCTAGTTATACCTGCATGACCCCCCATGGGTGTGGAATGTGCCTCTCTAAGCACCACGTCCCTCAATTCAGAATTGGATCCCAACAAAAATCGACCCTTATGGTAAAGAATTCCATCTCTCTCTGTGATATCATTACTCCCTAACTCCTGCTCGTGTAATTTACCACGGATGCTAACCAATTCAGGTTCAGTAGAGTTCTCAGCCTTGATCTGCTCCACTAGCTGAAAAATAGCCTCTGAGACTAAGGACAAGGACATACCACTGTGGTCTTCCTCCATACATCTAGATAAGGAGCCAGCAACAATATTAGCTGTACCAGGTATATATTCTATGACAAAATCAAACCCCATCAACTTACAGACATATTTTTGCTGCTCAACTGTCTGGACAGTTTGAGTGAGTAACTCCTTTAAGCTGCGATGATCAGTACGTATAACAAAGTTGGACCCCAACAAATAGTGGCGCCATTTCTTTACCGCTTCTGTCACTGCATACAATTCCCTAACATAGGTGGATGCCACACTCATTCTTGGACCCAACTTCTTGCTGAAAAAAGAGATAGGGTGATTGTCTTGTTGAAGGACAGCCCCTATGCCTAAGGAAGAGGCATCAGTTTCCACAATAAAAGGCTTGGTGAAGTCGGGCAGAATCAAAACTGGTGTCCTTGACATTGCTTCCTTTAACACCTCAAAAGATTTTGCAGCCTCTTCACACCAATGAAATGCATCAGATCTCAACAAATCAGTCAAAGGTGAGGCCATGGTAGCATAATTTTTAATGAATCGTCTATAATACCCAGTGAGACCAATGAAACCTCTCAACTGCTTAATAGTCTTGGGCTGTGGCCACTGCATCATTGCCACTATCTTCTTAGGGTCAGCCTTAACTCCAGCCCCTGAAACTACATGTCCCAAGTAATCAATTTCAGCCAAAGCAAACCTGCATTTACTGAGTTTAACCATAAACTGATTTTTCTGTAAACAGCCCAAAGTGACAGTGAGATGATGATAATGTTCCTCAAGAGATCCACTGTAAACTAAGATATCATCGAAGAATATGATGATGAATCTTCGAAGGTAAGGAAGAAACATATGGTTCATGGCCGCTTGGAAAGTTGAGGGCGCATTGGTCAAGCAAAAGGCATCACCAAAAACTCATAATGCCCCTCATGAGTCCGAAAAGCAGTCTTGGATGTATCCTCAGGCACCAAAAGAATTTGGTGATATCCACTACGCAAATCCAATTTAGAGAAAACCTTAGCACCATTGAGTTCATCAAGTAATTCATCGATTATGGGAATGGGAAAACGATCCTTTATAGTGTTGTTATTCAAGGCACGGTAATCAATACACATTCGCCAAGAATTATCTTGTTTCTTCACAAGCAAAACTGGAGATGAGAATGGACTCCTGCTTTCCTTTATGAAACCCGAATCCAACAATTCTGAGACCTGCTTCTCTATCTCCCCTTTCTGATGGTGTGCATATCGGTACGGTCTCACATTGACCGGCTTGGCATCCTAAACCAGATGAATAGCATGGTCACAGCCCCTAGGTGGTGGCAGCCCTGTGGGAAACTGGAAAACAGTGTGAAATTGCACCAGAATATCCCATATGGCTGCAGGAATTTGAGCCTTCAATTCCTTTAATTCAGGTGAGACATCTGAGACTCCTTCTCCTGCCAAATGGAAACAGTTTGGGGCCCTTATATTTCTAGCCACACCAGAATTTTCACCAGTCAACACCACCCTCCCTCCTTTGAACAAGAACTCCATAGACATGTCAGTGTAATCATGGATAACTCGGCCAAGGGTACTTAACCAAGACATGCCCAATATTATGCCCAAATTGGCTAACTCAAGGACCCACAAATCCATAGAAAACTCATTCCCCTGGATATTTAATAGAACCTCCATGCATTTTCTATCACAGATTAAAAACTCCCCATTGCCTAGGAACACACGCATCTTAGGCACCTTGACAGTAGCTAAACCAGAAACATCAACTAACTTCTTTTGGACAAAACAATGTGAGCTACCAGAATCCACAAGAACAGGTACTAACCTTCCCTTAATCTCCACATGGAACTGAAGCGCTCGAGGATGTCTTTCCCCAGCCAAAGAGTGTATGGCTGCCACATGAGACTCCTCAGGAACAGGGTCAGGTTGCCACACAATATGTTCTTCTGCCTCAGTCTCCAATTCCTCAGAATCACCTATCATCAAAAACAACTTGCCCTTACACCGATGGCGAGAGTTCCATTTTTCATCGCAGGTATAACAAATCCCCATATCTCGCTTCTTCTGCATCTCCTCATGAGACAGTTTCCGATAAGGAGTTGAAGAAGGTAAAGCAGGAACACCTGGTTTTTGAGTAGGTAATACTGTAGAAATTGGACTTGGTTGGTCCACAGTATAGGTGTTTTTAGCAAAACCTTTCTTAAGCCCTGAAGAAAAAGATGAACGCAGCTCCACAAAGTGTGCATCATAGGTAATAGCCAGTTGCATTGCTTGATGGAGTGAGGTAGGAGAATGAAGTTGGATGGCTCGACGCAAATCAGGCAACAAACCAGAGACGAAGAAACACATCAAAACCTCATCACTAAACTCAGCGACTTGATTAATCAAAGCCTCAAAGTTTCGGATGTACTCACTCAATGTACCTTCCTGAACCAACTTCGAAAGAACTCCACGTAAATCCTGATAAGCAGTACCCCCAAACCTTTGACGAACCGCAATCTTCAGATCCTCCCAAGCATGAATGGATCCTCCACTGAAAAGCCACTGAAACCAAGGACTAGCTAAACCCTCCATTTTCATCCCAGCCAAACGGACCTTGATGTTCTCCGGCACTTGCTGTAACCCAAAATACAACTCGGTGCGAAAAATCCAGCCATTAGGATCGGTTCCGTTGAAAATTGGACGCTCCATCCTAACCGATTTCAGCCATGAACGCGGATCATTAAGATCGATGCGAGGAATATGTATTCCCCCAGACTCAGTAGAAGAGGAGGCATGAACTCCTTTCGAATGAGCATGTTCTGTAGCACGAACCTAAGCCTCAATCACCGCTGCATGAATCTGTTGAAGTTGAGAATTGATGCCAACAAACTGGGTTTGATGATCGAGAAATCGCTGTTCCACCCGCGATTGCAGATCCTCGAAGTTTCGTTCGATTCGCAGTTGGAAAGTACCAAACTCCTCAGCCAATTCCTGAACCCTCATTTTGGATTTCCGAAGGAGCTCAAAAGATGAAAGCACCAATGTTAAGGGACGCAAACCCTTAATCGATACCAAACTCAATTTCAGAGAGAAAAAGATAAGAAGGAAAAGGAAATCAATCGTATATTTCAGAATCCCTTACCAAGATGACAGATAGGTTCTTTTGTAATACACGTGTAGCTTACCAAGCTCTATTCCTAACAACTACACAATGTTGTATCTGATTACTAACTCTCTCAAACACCCCATTGGGCTTGCTAACACTTACTAACATAATCCCTGGCCCATGAAGGGGCCCCAACCATCCTCCTACTCTTGGGCCTGTTATCAGTTACCTTATCATAAAGAGATTCACAATTCTTGGAGAGGATAAAGAGGTTCAAATTCAAAACCAAATCAGCTGCGGTCATTAAAATTTCAGACACTGGTTGATTTTGGAAAAAATAATATTGGCTAATTATGGTGTAGGGTTTACTATCCCCTCTCTATTCTTAACACTCGGTTTCACATTTTTTCTATTAAGATCTCTATTATAGTGAAAATAGGAGAAAAAGATCCTATTCTTGGAGTGTGAACTTATGCATGACGCTATTTTTAAATCATTGTCATTAAATATATTAATTGTCGTCAAATATGTCTTCAAAAAAAAAAACACGTGATTTATATTACCTGTTTTATATTCTAAATCCTCTAGTATAGATACATTCAATTTTAGCAAGCCCATCTTTCAACCTCTGTTAATATATTATGAAGTGGAAGTCAACTTCTTTTGTCTTATTCTTTTTTTGATTTTTTTGTTGGGTTTGCTCTTTTACTAAAGCCCAAATGGGTTATTAGTATGAGAAGAGCCCAAGGAACCTAGAGCCCAATGAGCTAGGGTTTCTTGGAACCCATATAAATAGTACCTCTTAAGTCATCAGCCTCCGAGGTCTTTTTTGTGAGAAAGAGGCAAGCTCAGAATCTAATCAGTGCCCACACACTTCCCCTTCCTCCTCGAGAGATAGTTTGGAAGATCTGCCACAGTCCAGCTTCAAGGATGTTGTTCGTGCTGCGGCGCTGAGGTGAGCTGTTCGTGAAGAGGAATCCTACAAGGGAAGATTCTACACGAGACCTGCGCACCGAGAGGTAATTGAGAAACAAGGATGATTTAGTAAGCATACCAATGTACTAGGTCCTAAACCGCTTCCGCATAAATCTAAGATTTCCTATAATTGGTATCAGAGCCTTGTTCATGTAATTAGTTTTGCTTCTTGAAATGTGGCACCTAGGGTTCTAGGATTATGGTATGAATCTAGCATGTGTATTTTATAATTCATTTTCATAAAAGTTTAAATTTTAATCGGTAAAAATGCTTTAATCCATGGTTAGGGTCTCTCGTGTATTTCTCGATTTGTAACAAGGAGGCTAATCCCATATGATTAGGTTTCCTCCTTGCTGTTTTTGTTTATTTTTGGAATTTCTGTGTATTTTTTCAATATTTTGTAAAAGTTCAAGATCGAGAAATCGCGAGGAAGATGCGCAGTCATCACTGTCGGAGACTTTTCGAGGACTTCCTGATCTCAGAACGAGACGATCTATATATGGTTGGAAAGAGGACGGAAATACGAACGTAACGGTGGGTGGATCGCAGCCATCGGAGACTCCACGCTCCACCACGCGCCTCCACAAGAGGCTGAGAGTGGCCGCCACTCTCCGGCAAAGAATGAGAGAGTGAGGGAGCGTCCAGCCACCTTTTTGGGTGGTTCCGGCGGCGGTGCACTCGTCTCTACGTGGCAGTCCTTCCCCTGGAGTTTCAGCCTGATTTGACTTCGGGTGACGGCGCGGCAGACCTGACGGCTAGGGTTCCTCTTTCGCGTCCTAGGGTTTCTCGCCAAAGGATTGGGTCTTTGGGCTTTTGGGCCCATGAAACCCTAAAGGGGCTTGAGACAGATACTATGGGCTAGGCGAAAGTCGAATTCCAAAGTTGTATTATTTAATTTTATTTTCTTTAAAATAGGAAGGCCATGGATTAAAATAATTATGATTTATTATTTAATGCTTTTATTGATTGGTATAAATTATATGATTGATAACATGCTTTATTGCGATAACATGCCATATAGAATATGTGGTGCCATATTGTTGCATAACTTGTATGATTGCATGAGCATAATAGCTATTATGTCTTCAGCGACTAGTATGATAGTTATTATGAGATTATTTTGATTTTAAATCATCCTAAGAAATTAATTAATAATTATTATGATTTTTATTAAAAATGTAGATTAATAATTGAATTAATTAATTTTGGATAATTAACATCAAGACAAATAATCGTTATGGAAATTATTTTGATTTCAAATTATTCTCATAAATGATAATTATTATGATTGTTGCAATCTAGATTAATAATTAAGTCAGCTATTTGGATGATTTAAATCTAGAAAAATAATTAGAGAAAATTTCCTAAGAGAATTCTTTTATTTTGCGAGTAATTTGTGGGTTTTCTGAAATGGTAATGGAATAACACACGCTGCATACAACCTTCATGTATCATGATTGTTTGGAGCACACGCTGACGTAAAGTGACCGGATTTCAAGACCTTAATGCTTTCAAAATTATGTTAAGCTTAGTGCACGTTTATCGGCGCTCTTACTTATATAGTTTTTGAAATCGAACAAAGGATACTCTCAATTAAATAATGGGAAAAGTGTGTATAATTTTAAATGATGTAAAGTTGTGTCATTTTAAGAGAGAGAAAGAGATAGATTAAGGAGGAGAGAGAGTTGACAAAAAAAAATAAAGGTGTGGGTCCCACCTCTTTGTGAGAGTGAAAGGATGTAAGTTGTGTAATTTTAAATGATAGACACTTTTCCCTTAAATAATTCTTGGAAATTAGAAAATGTTGCTTATGTTGAATGGAAGGAGATTTAAATTAAGAGATTAATTTAACCTTCAAGCGCATTATAGGACCATTAATAAAACAATCATGTGAAGTCCCATCGAATAAGCATGATTGGATTTTATTAGATTGGACTTAAATATCTATGGGAGGAGATTTAAATTAAGAAATTAATTTAACCTCCAGGCGCATTGTGGGCCTATCAATAAAATAATCATGTGAGGCCCCAACGGATAAGCATGATTGGATTTTATTGGGCCTTAATAATTTCAAAATTTTAATAAAGTATTGTACGGCCCATCGTCGATAATACTAAGTTATCAAAGATAATTTTGAAATTAAACAATGAATTCGACTGAGCTTATGAAAATTCTCAAACAAAAATGTTGAATGGGTGAAGGTTTTAAAAATTAATTAATTTTAAAACCTGCGGGCTCCATTTGTGGGTTTATTAGTGAAATGGTTATCGCTGAAGCTCCATCGGATAAGGATAATCAGATTTCACTAGATTAAATCTTAATAATTTCAAAATTTTAGTAAAGTATTGTACGGCCCATCGTCGGCAATGCTTAGACACTAAGGATAATTTTGAAATTAAACAATGGTTAATTACATTCAACTTTGGTAAAATTGTTAACCCTCCCATCGAGGCTCTGGCAATGGCACTGAAGGCCCAAATAACAATTTTGGTTTTTACAAGTGACTTGCACATCGTAAGCCTTGTAAAGATAAACTGAAGGATTGTTAACAATAAACAAGAGTAGTTATGAGAATCTACTCGCACTTCGTTTGTTTATTGCATTATTTGTTTGTAATTGTGTGCTTTATATGTTTTTCAGAAAATATCTTAGAAATGATTTTGACTCGAAAACCTCTAGATGGTACCAACTATGAATAAGTGAAAAGCAAATCTTTGATATTGTCCTAAAACATGGAAGCTAAAATTTGTCCTGACAATGCGAGGACCATAGCAACCTGCAGAGAATGTGTCTAAGGAAACTAAGATGCATTTCTCAGATTGAGAAAGGGCAGATATGGTAGTTCGCTGCTATATTATTGTCAGTCTTTCCAAATACTTGCAGAAGCAAGTGTACATCATTAAGAGTGGAGTAAAAATGCTTCAGACTCTTAATGACATGTTTGCTGCGTCTAGCAGCTCTGCTAGACAGAATGCAGTTGGTGCAGGTTTTGCTAAGAGTCTTGTTAAATCCAAAGGGAAACCCAAGGGTGGTAACAAGAACAAAATGACTTGGTTATCAGTTGTAAAACCAGTTGCTATGAAGAAGCCGCAAGGCAAGTTCTTCAAGTGCAGACTGAAGGGATACTGAAAGAAAAATTGCCCAGAGGTGATGAAAAGAACCAGACATGGGCATATCAAGGCCTGATCAGTGAATGAATTATTGATTCAGGAATCACTGATTATGTTTGTTACTCTTTGTAGTAGTTCAAACATGGCATACCTGTCAGCAATGGACATAGATATTTTAAGCTTGAAAATGGGAACTTGTTTCTGCATTTGCAGTAGGACAAGTTATTTATAAGACTATGGTTTTGGGTGACTGTTTATTTGTTCCAGATTTCAAGAGGAATTCAATTTTTGTTAGTTGTTTTGGTTAAAACATGGGTTGACAATGCAATTGATTCCTCAGTTACATTTCGAAGTTCATCTTCGTCTTGTTTTGTTCTGGTATATTGTTTAAATAGTCTTTATTACCTATGTCCTATACCCTCTTAAATTTGTTATGTTGAATGGAAAATGTGATGAACAAGAACATTCACCAAAGAAATAAAAGTTTCAAATGAAACATAACTTTGACCTTTGTGATTGAGTCACATTATCTCAAGTAGGAAACATGTTTTAGTTAAAAGAGGGACTGAAAGTTCAAGAATCTTTTAACTAACAGCTACATGTTAGTCCTATTTGGAAGGTAAAATGGCCAAGCAATCCTACAAGGGCCAAAAAGGTTTGCGCAACTATTCAACTGGAACTGGTACATACTAATAATGTATGTGGACCAGTTAGCGTTCAGACCAGAAGAGGTGATGAGTACTTCATTATATGAATGTTTACTCTGGATTTAGATAGATGAACCAAGTGCGCCATAAGTCTAAAGCTTTTGGAAATTCCAAGAGGTTTAGTCTGAGGCAGAAAAGCATGTAGGTGTTCAAATCAAAAACACTTTGGTCTGACTAAAGTGTTGGCTACCTGTCTGGTAAGTTCAGGTCTTACCTGATTTAAGAGGGGATAGTTTTTGTAACTGTCAACTCTAAGAACGCATTAGTTGAATGAAGTTGCAGTATGCAAAAATCAAACATTTCTAGACTTGGTGAAGATCATGTTCAGTTATTCATCTTTGTCAATGTTGTTCAAGGGAGATGCCTAAGAGAAGGAAATGTACCTTCTTAACTTGGTTCTGTCAAAAGTTTGTTGTAAAGACACCTAAAGAATTATGGAAAGGGTGCAAGCCCAGATCAAACCATATTCGGATTTAGGGTGCTACGGCACACGTCCTACAACAGCAGTCAAA